TGGGCATAACAGAAAAATAATTTTGATGACTGTATTGATACTTGACTGGTTTCTGCACTAATCAAAGTGCTTTATTACATAGAACAATAGTCTGAATCTGAACCTAACACATTTTTTATCATTTTGACKTTTGACGGATTTCTGTGATAATCGCTTCAATTTTTATGTATAATACAACTGCAATATCTATTTTATATACTGATCATTTGAAATATTGAAAAGTGTATTAAGTTGCATATGCATACATATTTAAAACTTACAAAAATAATTTTATGTAAAAATAATTATGCAAAAACTTGAAGCAAACTATAAATATTTTCAAGACTAGACAGTTGCTTAAATTTGAATGYAGGAATAGTAATAAATGGCCAGCTATATTATATGCTGAGATTATATGCTTGAAATAAATAATWAATTAAAAATCTAATATTTCTTGCTAATTATTATTGAATATGTTTAGTTATATTTTTTGCCAAGTTTAAAATTGTAACATTGTATTCTTATTAAAATATAATAAATCCGTTGTTATAGTTTTGCATTGATGTCGAATACTTCTCGATTTACCAATTAATTTAATTTTCTCTGATGACACATAAATGGTTTCATAAAAATGGATTGCTTGAATGTTTATTTAATGGAGATGCTGATCTAACCTATATAAATAAAATTATATTTTAACATTGCTTAGATCTTAAATGAATATAAAATAATGAATTTGAAGTAAAATACTTTGAACGGATTAGAGAAATCTGCACTCCAAGGTGTTACATCATTAAAACCCATTGATTGACTAGAAGTTAAGCCATTTGGCCATTGGATATTATTTTGCCAATCATCTAAAATATAAATGGTATTAAAAAAAAAAAAAAAAATTACATGACATAAAAATAATATACATAAAACATTAATTGAACTAAAACTTAATATTATTTTCAAAGTTGATAATTTTGACGTTTCTTAAACAATTTTAAATTTAATTGTAATTAATAGCAGTTAGGTAACAAAATAAAGGATTTGTAAAACTAATTTTATTTATCTAGAAATTAAATTAAATAAATATAAAATGAACTATTAAATGAATTGATATAATTATGTAGTTAMAATTATTTCTTTAAATTAAATATTCTTGAATATTAAATAAATTTGAAAGAAAAACATAAATAGCGAGAAAAAATACAACTATTTAGGATCAAATCTCTAACGTTTTATCTTTTTTTTTTCAAGATTTAACTAACAGGTAAATATAAGATTCTGAGTGAAGAGATAATATTGTTGATTATTTTTATTTTTGTGTCTACTAACACATGCAGTAAAAATGCTTCAAATTTTCACTTCAAGGGTGGTTTCTGGAGGAAATAGTTWAATTAAGTAATTTTTTTAATTTTTAAACATAAGTATTATAAAATAAATATAACTAATATTAGTTGGATTATACTCTTAATTAAATGCATTACCTATCAATTTAAATTAATTTAACATCAATAATATTTTATCTGAATCATTGAAAAATTAAATTTTAAATTATAAATGTTTTCTTTACACACTTGAATCTTAATTTTTTCTACCCAATGATAGAATGATGGTGATTTATACTGATAATAAATTTAAAATAATAAAATTCTATTAATGAAGATATTTATTTATATTATATTTTTCACTATTTAATCTAAACTTTACTACCAAATAATTAAACATGGATAGTCAATGTAAA